TTTCCTATTGAAAAAAAGAACTCCCACCCTCCCTCTTACCTCTCTGAATTCATCTTCCTCACACTACCACTCTCCAGTTCTTTGAACACACCAGCATGTCCCAACCTCAGGCCTCCAGGAGTACCCACCTCACCCAGCGATTGTGTAACCCATGAAAAGGAGGACCCAATGTACCCTAAGGATTCCAATAATTGCTTACATTTATTGGCTGCCTGCTGTGGGCCTGGTGCTCCTCCAGTCATGGGAATAAAATAGCTCCTGCTCTCACACAGCAATGCATTTGGGGAAGGCTGAAATACACACAAAAATAAGTAAAATGTGCTGTCCATCAGGAGGTGATAAATGCTGTAGAGAAAAAGAAAGCAGTTAAGTGGTGGGGCATTGTTATTTCAATGGGATGGCCAGAGAAGGCCTCACTGACAAGGTGACATTTGAGTTAAGACCTGAAGGAGGTGAGAAGTGAGTCATTATCATTTGGGGGTGGGGTGGGGAGGGGGATCCATCCTGGTAGCGGTAACAGCTAGTGCAAAGGCCCTGAGGTCAGAACATGAGTGGAATGTTTGCAGAACCCTGAAGAGGTCAGTGTACCTGGAGCAGAGTGTACAAGAACAGAGAGCATCTTACAAGATGAGGTGAACAAGATGGGTGTCCCACGGGAAGGAGTGAGCTTTACCGAATTTGATGGAAGCCATGGAAGGCTGCTGAGCAGAGGAGAGATGAGCCCTGACTCACCTTTTACTAGGCCCTCTTTGCCTTACAGATATCCGAGTGAAAAGGAATCCTGTAGCTTGCTAGTACCACAATGAGGACAGTATAAGGAATACCCACACTTTCCAGGTAAACAAACAGGCTAACAGAGGCCCAGATCCTGCCCGGTTAAAGAACTGATGAGAGAAGTGTAAAGGCTGGCCCGCAGACGAACCGGGCCTGAGGACAGAGTCCACCTTCCCCAAACTGCTCTCCTCCCGCCTGCGGGGGTGGGGGCGCTGGGGGGTGGTGGTGTGGATGGGGCGCGGCCGTCGTGGGGCGTGGCCGGCGAGGCAGGCCCCTCCCACCTGCCCAACTGCACCCCCACCCGGAGCTGGCGGGGCGGTGGAATACCCCGGAGGCGGCGGCGGTGGCGGGAGCCTGCCCGGCGCCTGCTCCCTCCCCAGAGGCCGGGTGGGGCGGCAGGCTGGGGCGGCCGGCTGGGGGCGGGGCGCTTCCCTCCCCCACCCCCATCCCCTGCGGGCGGAGGCTCCTCCCCAGGCCTGCTGGCCCCGATGGCTTGCTTCTGGTTTCATTTCCCAAAGCTTGACCTCTATCCCTCTCCCTTCCCCCCCCCCCCCCCCCCCCTCCCGCCCCTCCTCCTTCCCTCCCCCCCTGCTTCCCCCCCCCCCCCCCCCCCCCCCCCCCCCCCCAGCCCTTTGAATTCCTGGCTCCTTCTGCGCTTTCTGGTCTCAGCTCCAGGGTCACCTCCTCAGGGACGTTCTCCTGGACCACCCTGGCACAGGCCTCCGTATTATCCCGTCCTATTTTGTTTTCTTCAAGGCACCAAAGAGAGGTCGACATTATCTTCTTCGTTTATTCATCTTCCAGGGTCTCAAACCACTCGGAATAAATCATAACGGTCTCTAGACGTCTCTAAACGGCCCGAAAGCTTCTCCGACCGCCCCCTCCGCAACATACAGTCCAGCTACACTGGCCTCGCTGCCCCGCAGACTCCGTCCTCGAGGCCTTTGCATTGGCCCTTCCCTGTGGCTGGAGCATTCTTCTACCAGAGCTTTACTACTTCTCTCATTTCATCAGGTCTACTCTGGGAACTTTCTACCAGCATCAGCACCCGCCCAGTCTACCGCACGCCCTTTCATTCCTCTCCTTTCGCTCTGCTTTATTCTTTTCCTTTTCACTTGTCACCTTCTAAAATACTAAATTATTTATTATATAAAGTGTATTGTCCACCCCCCCAATCAGGGATTTTTATATAATTACTGCCCTATCTGGCGCACAGGTGTTCGATCCATGAATGTTTTTGTTGTCATACTTTTCTGTTTACCCCCTCCCCTGATCCATGAAAAGAGAGACCACTGTGTGAGACTTATCCAGCGCTGTACCCCTAGTGTCTACAACGGCGTCCATGATATAGTAGGTGCTCAATAAACACATTTTGATCAAATTCTTGAGGTTCCTATGAATCTCCAGCATGTGATCTGGAGCAAGCCACTTTTTTTCCTAGGCCATAAGGATAGGTTACGGGGGAAATTATGTGAATTTGCCTGGGAGGGGCTTGGTTCTAATTAGCATTTTACCCTCTTTTTATTAATTAAAAAAATTTTTTAATTAAGCATATAGAAAAGATAGGGGCAGGGGTGCCTGGGTGGCTCAGTCAGTTGAGTGTCTGCCTTCTGCTCAGGTCGTGATCCTGGGGTCCTGGGATGGAGCTCCCTCTTCACTGAGTCACCCAGGCCTCACCCCCTCCTCCCGCCCCCTGCCACAAATATCTTTTGTAGCTGTCTCCTCTTCCCCAAATCAGGATTCATTGAGAGTTCATGTGCTTATTTAGTCATAATAAAGAAATTATATAGTAACTTTCATTCCAGAAATTTCCCCATTACTAAACCCACCAATCCCTTTTTCTGTTTTCTCAAAATGAATTTTCGGTGGAACAGCCCAGTTGTACTTGTAGATGTCCCACATTCTGTATTTGTCTGATTGTGTTCACGTTTAATTTGTTCCTCTCTGTTTTCTGGAAACTGAAGCTCAGGTCTGGAGGCTTCACGAGATTCAGCCTATGAAATTTAACAGGGAGACCCCAAAGGGAATGTTGTATACTTCCTAAAGCATCACATGGGGTGGTACCCAGTGTCAGGGTGTCCCATGATTGTGGGTGCAGAGTTTCCTTACATGGTTAAGATGGTGAGCAGCACATCTCCCCATCATAAAAGGCTACTTGTCTCTTGGCAGTTAGCAAGCAACCTGTGGGGGAATGCCTTGGAGCCTGCCGAGATCCTGTTAACCTTTTACCCTAAGGTTTGAATGAACATCCATTGATAACTGCTGCCTGAATCAACTAATATAGTTAGAATTTTCTGGAGCTTACTTTGGCCAGGAGCTTTACTCCGGACAGTTCTTCCCACAACTCCAGAAAAGTTAGCAAATGAGCTACTTGAAGAAGCTAAGTCCCATTGTCAGTTTATCAGACAAGTGATAAATTCCTGTCTACCTATATCCCACTTTGTGCGTCCCCCCCACCTAATTGCCTGTGCCATAACCACAACAGCTATTACTACCAACAAAAGAACATGTTGTGCACCATTCTGAGCATTTTGTGCAATTATTCTTTTTTGTTTTTAAGATTTTATTTATCTGAGAGAGAGAGCGAGCCTGCGCACAAGCAGGGGGAGCGGCCGGCAGAGGGAGAGACAAGCAGGCTTCCCGCTGAGCAGGGAGCCCAATGGAGGGCTCCATCCCAGAACCCTGGGATCATGACCTGAGCCGAAGGCAGAAGCTGAACCGACTGAGCCACCCAGGCGCCCCCAATTATTATTTTTTCTTTTTTCTTTTAGATCTTATTTTTAAGTAATCTCTACACCAAACGCAGGCTTGAACTCAGAACTCGGAGATCAAGGGTCGCATGCTCCTCCGACTGGGCCAGTCTGGCGCCCCTGTGCGATTATTCTTTTTAATCCTCAAAATAATCTCATTTTAAAAAGATGAGGAACCGGAGACCCTAGGGGATTAAAACACTTGCCCAAAGTCGCAGAGCTACTTAGGGAATGGAGCCCGGGATGTGACTCCCGTGGCTCCACTCCTAACTCCGCCCGCTCCTCCTCCCCACCCCCTGTAACCGCCATTGAGTCCAGCTGCCCGGCCTCTATTTGCTCAGTGTGCTACAGGGCTCTTACAGACACAACCTTCTTTTAAATTTTCTAACTCTCAAAACATAGGCAAGAAGATGCCCATTTAACAGAGTCTGTATGGCTCAGAGGGGTCCAAGCATTTTTCCAAGATAGCACACCCAGTGAGCGGTCAGAATGTGAACCCATGCCTATCCGGCTTAGAGTGCAGACCCCTGTTAGGGTTAGGTCTGCAAGGAGCTCAGTTGCTGGGTTTTGGCAAGTGTGTGGGCAGGTGTGCGGACCCGCACCTCGAGAAGCAAGAAACACCACCCAACTGTCCCGCGGCAAAAAAAAAAAGCCAACCCACCTGGCCGGGTACCCTCACGCAGTCGCTGGGCATGCGCCCTGAAACCACCCTCCTCTCCCTTCGAGCCTTCCTTCTACAGGCTCCGCCCACCACCGTCCCAGGCCAATCCCCAGGTGGAAGGCGGGGCCACTACAGGAGTGGGCGGTAGTTAAGGGGAGTCTGGAGCCCGGAGTCGTGCGCCGGAGTCAGAACTGCGTCTCCCGACCCAGGCGTCGGTTGCTGAAGGAGAGCGAGCGAGCGATGCTGCCGTCGCCGCTTCCTGATTGGTTGCGCGTGGATCCCTCTTCGTTCTGATTGGCAGCGGGTCAGCTAGGTATGTAAATGAAGTAAAGGGGCCTGAGGAGAGAAGGGAGACCCGCGGCGGGGTCGTTTGGGAGGTTCGATCCCCGGGTCCGCCGGTGAGCACCGGGGCTGCCCGGCATCAAGATGCGCGGGCTCCTAAGTGCCGCCCGGCCGGGCTGGGTGAATCACGCCGCAGCCCGGGAAGGGGGCGGAGGCGCCGGCTCTCTGGCTCCGGCTGCGTGACTCACCCGCCCCCGCCGCCGCCGCTTCGGGAGGAGCCGCCTCCACTGCCTGCCGGAAGCGAGCACGGGCCGAGAGGGCAGAAGAGCCCTCCGGGGATCCCGACCCGCACGGCCCTGGGAGGCAGGCAGGAATGACAGGCAGGACGTGGGGGCAGTGTCGAGGTTCCCGGGGTCCGAGGGGCCGGAATCCCCGGGGAAAGCCGTCCTGGCGCCGCTAGGGGGCGCCGGGACCAGGGGGAGGAGTCCGGGTGGGGGCTGAATTCCTGGGGTTCTGGACTCCCGGGTCTTCGGGGAAGGAGGCAAGAACCGTTTTGAGTAGTGTGAGAGGGTCAGTCTTAATGTCCTGTTGGCCAGGGGCTCGGGGACTGGACCCTGCAAGCTACCAAACTTGCTTTTTAGCAAGTTGGGCCCGGGGTCCGGAACCCCAGGGGCCCCTACCCCGGGGAAAGTGTGGGTTTTTAAAAATTCTCTCAGTGACCCCCGGTGCCCGTCAGGATTTCCCAGCAAGCTCTGTCTACTCTGCCTCCCAAATAAATCCTGAATCAACCAACTTTCTTCCAAGTCCACTGCCAACCACCTTCTTCTCCAAGCCACCATCATCACCCGCCCCAGAGTGCAGTAGCCTCTGAATGGAGCTCGGGACCACGTTCTTCTCCGGTTTCCCTTCCTTCCCGCGTCATCTTCCTCAAAGCAGCTTAGGGGGATCTTCTGGAAACCTTACCAGTTCACAACGCCACCGTATTCCCTGATCAAAATCCTTCAATGACACAGTGCAGTCCAAACTCTGCCTCTGCTTGTTCTCCAAACCCCGTCCCATCCTGCATCACTCTGTGCGTTGACAACACTGGTGCTTTTTATTTTATTTTATTTTTATTTTATTTTAAGTTCAAGTTCATCCAGCCTCCAAGTCTTTCTTTGCCTTTGTTGTTGTTCTTTCTTACCTGAATGCTTTCCCCTTGGTTCTTCCTTGGCTGACTCCTGCTTGAGGGCTCAGCTCAAATATCACCTCCTCCCAGGAGCCTTCCCAGACCACTCTCTAGAGAACCTGTTAGGATCTTCCTAGCACCATCTGTACATTTCCTGTATTTATTTGTCTGATGGGTGGTAGACACTCAATAAATGTCAAACTATGTGAAACAGCTGCTTTCCCGGGGTTAAAAAAAATTTCCTGAATATTGGGCGCTTCACCTGGTTCGCTAAAGAAATATACTAGCTATTCAGAGTACTTGTTAATCAGAAGAGTTACAATGTATTAGGCACTGTTGTAAGTTATTTTTGTATATTATCGCACTGATTCCATAAAACAACTCTTTGAAGTAGATAACTATTATCATTCGTATCTTAAAGTTTCCCTAAGAAAGCAGAGGCTCAGGAAATTAAATGGCCTGCCCAAGATCACACCTGCACATCAGTTATCAGAGCCTGGGTTTGAACTTCACGTTGACTTTCTATAACGAATGACTGACTCCTCCCTTCCTGCAGATGATGCTGAGCAAAGGTCTGAAGCGCAAGCGGGAGGAGGAGCAGGAGAAGGAAACCCTGGCAGTGGACACCTGGTGGCTGGATCCCAGCCTCCCTGCTGCAGCCCAGGCCCCCCCACCCGCCACCTCCAGTTCCCTCTTTGACCTTTCGGTGCTCAAGCTCCACCACAGCCTGCGGCAGAGCGAGCCGGACCTGCGGCACCTGGTTCTGGTAGTGAACACGCTGAGGCGCGTCCAGGCATCCATGGCCCCCGAGGCGACCCTGCCACCTGTGCCCAGACCCTCTGCGGCCCCTTGTGTGGCTGACAGCCTGCTGGCCAGCTCCGATGCCGCCCTCTCGGCCTCCATGGCCAGCCTGCTGGAGGACCTCAGCCATATCGAGGGCCTGAGCCAGGCCCCCCAGCCCTTGGTGGACGAGGGGCCCCCAGGCCGCCCAGCCGGGGGATCCCCACCCAGCCTGGGTGCCTTGGACCTGCTGGGCCCAGCCACTGGCTGTCTGCTGGACGATGAGCTCGAGGGCCTGTTTGAGGACATTGACACCTCTATGTATGACAGTGAACTTTGGGCACCAGCCTCCGAGGCCCTCAAACCTGGCCCTGAGGATGGACCTGGCAAGGAGGAGGCTCTGGAACTGGATGAGGCCGAGTTGGACTACCTCCTGGACGTGTTAGTGGGCACACAGGCCCTGGAGCGGCCACCGGGTCCGGGGCGCTGATGCCCACAGCGGGGATGGTAGTCTGGTGTCCCAACTGAGCCTGGTGGCCGGACCAGCTCTCCTCTGAAAGACATAGCTGGCTTCCCTAGAACAGAGAGAGAGAGGCTTTGGAGAGAAGAATCCAGTCCTGAGCAACTCCACCTCTATCCTCTTGTCTAGGACTCGTGAGGGGAGGCTGGGGGAGGCTGGGATTGGCCGTGGGGATGGGAGGACAGGGCCTGGTGGCTGGAAGATGATTTGGACCAGGCCCTGTGCTGGACTGAAACCCCAGGGGCTGGAGCCTGGGAGTCTTTTCCCTGATGTGGGAAGAGACCACACCATTCTGTGGAAATTAAAACCAGTCCTGGGAAATTTCAAGTCTATGTGCTTTGTATCTGGGCTAAGGGCGACATAGTAACTTCCAGCATTTAGTGAGCAGGGAACTGGGCACCTGGCACAGTGCTAACCCTTGCCATCCCCCGAACAAGATGGGCGTCATTACTATCCCCACTTGACAGCCCAGAAACCTGAAGCTCCAAGAGGTCATCCCTTGAGGACGTGGGTTTCAGACCATGAACTTCACTGCTTTATATCGGTCTGAGAAGCAGATGGATTAGCTCTGGTAACTGGAGAAAACTCCCCAGAAGTACTTGGCCAGGTTTCTCTGGTGTGCCCAGTGGGTACATAATGGGGGGGGGGGGGGGGGGGGGGGCCCGGCCCCTTGAATCTACCTCTGTGTCTTGGGGCTGGGGGCAAAAGGGAGCTTTCAGAATGAGCCAGAAAGAAAAGCCCAAAGCTGGAGGCTGGACAGAGACTCCAGAAAGAGCATGGAGAGCCAGCTCTCCAGGAACATGGGGAAAGACAAGGAGACTCCAGCAAGTTAAAAAAAAAAAAGAAAAAAAAAATTCCCTCGGGGACTCAAATCTGCATTTGGGCAGAGGATAGGGCAACTTGGAGGGGGGCTGCGAAATAAAGCCACCCGGTTTAGTGGCGTGACCGCAAGGCAGGCGGTCCTGCTTTCCTTCTAGAAGAAACCCAGGCCCCCGCGAGCCGGGGCCACCTGCCCGACTGCTTATGTGATCGGGCTGGCCTGAGCGCCGGGTGTCTGCGCCGCCCCCGCGGTCCAGCCGCATTCCTGGCCGGGCTGGGAGGGGCCGCACACTCAGAGGCCTGGCACGGGACCCAGGCGGCGTCCTTCCTGGCGGCCGTGGGGGCAGGGCAGCGCCCGGGGTGCGGCGGGGGGAGGAGCACAGTGAAAGCTGCGGGGGGCGGAAGCAGGCGGGTGGGGGTGGGGGCCGGGAGGAGCAAAGGGCCGGACGGTGACCTCCGAGCCCACTGGGCCTCGAGTGGGGAAGACGCCGGCGAGGGGACATCAAAATCGTTGGGCCCCAGGGCCTACCCTCCGGCCGGAAGTTCCAGGGAGGCTGAAGCTGGGGTGGAACAGGGGGAGGCGGACAGCTTCGGCGGCCCCTTGGGCCGGGAAGGGGCGGGCAGAGCGGAGCTTCCTGGAGGAGGAGAGGAAGTCGTGCCCATTTCTGGAAGTGGCTGAGGCGGCCCACGGAGGCGGAGTGGAAATGGCCCGAAGCGAGCTGGGGCGGTGGCTGAGGGTCTTCCGGGTGCCTGACTCCAACACCTGGTGACAGTGGGACTCAGTGGGACTCAGTGGGACTCAGACTCGGTTTTGATCCGGACCCAGACCTTGGGAGTTCGGGTGTTGGGCTCAGCAATGCCCTCTGGTGCTCAGTCTGAGGGTCTGAGATGCCACTGCCTTAGGTTCCCTTGAGGTCTGTCCAGTGGTCAAGGAGTCCCCCAGTGTGGGGTCAGCAGTGCGCTATGTTTAGGACACTCTGGGAGCCTGTTTCTGATGTCTCTGTGTGCCAAATTGGGGGATAATCTGTGATACATGCTGGTGCAGACAGCCACCCATCTGTCAATGATGCTCCCATCTGCCCCGGTGCCTGCTTGGCCAGCAATGCCCCCTTCTCCCCAGAGCCTCTGCAGACAGTTGCACAGGTTGTGCACTAAACATAAACACCATATTTAAGGGGCTACCATGCATGTGTTAGGCACCATTCATTTACATATTTACTACAACAGTTTCCCAGCAGATGGAGGTCAAGTGCCTTGGGGAAGGGGCAGGCCTTTTGCATAAAAGCACCATATGGGCTAGATCAGTACTAGTCCCTTCCCTCTGGTACCCTCAGGTTTATGAGCAGCTCAAGCCTGAGGGCCTATGCCACTCTCCCCTTGTCTGATCCCAGATGATTGTGCAGGCTCCCTGGCTCAAGTGTGCCCCTCCGCCCTCAGGCTCAACCCCAAGAGGCCACAGGTCCTCAGCCAGCAGATTCCAGGGCCCACACCATTCCTAGCTGAGCCACCAGCCCTGGCACTGGTTTTTCACAGAGCCTCTGTGTGCTCCCACCAGGACACTCCCCAGGCTGGCTCCCCTCCAGGGACATTCACGGGGACCCCCTTCCATGACACACACATCCTTTCCCCTTGGAACCTGAGATCTGTCCTCCTCCTTCCCTCCTTCCCTTCATTCCTTCTCTCATTCAGCAAAGATTTATGAGTAACAACTGTGTGCCTGGCCCGAAGTAAAAGGCAAACCATGTCTGTCCTCTGCTCCGGACCCTCCGAATTTATCTCAATCCTCTGAGATCTGAACTCTGCCCCTTCCAAGCCTCACCTTCCACCCCTGTCCCATTCACACACTGAGTGAACCCTTATGGAACACCTACAATGCCGGCCGCGGAAATCCAATGATGCTTAGTCAATGATTATTGACCCAATGAGACCTTGAGCAGACATGATGTTTGAAAGCCAGACCATCTGCCTTTGAACTTTACTTTGGGGGCGCCTGGGTGGCTCAATGGGTTAAAGCCTCTGCCTTCGGCTCAGGTCATGATCCCAGGGTCCTGGGATCGAGCCCCACATCGGGCTCTCTGCTCAGCTTCCTCCTCTCTCTCTGCCTGCCTCTCTACTGACTTGTAATCTCTGTCAAATAAATAAGAAGGGAGTTTTCTCCTTGAAAAAAAAAAAAAGAAAGAAAAAAAAAAAAAAAAAAAAAAAAAAAAAAGAAACTTTGCTTTGCTGTTCTGCGGCTGTGTGACCCCAGGAGAGGCACTTCACCTCTCTGGGCCTCGGGAGCTCATCTGTAAAGTGGAACAGCAACAGTGCCCACCTCCAAGGGCTGTGGTTCCGGGGAGGGGGCTGTCCCAGGCAGAGGGAAGAGCACAAGCAAGGACTAGGATGAGAGGCACCCTACAACATTTTCAGGGATCTGGAAGCTCTGGGTTTGGCTGGAAAGAGGGAGGAGCAGTGAGGCAAATCATGGGGCTGGAGGAGTCTGCAGGGGGTCAGTGCACAAGGGGCCCTGGGTGAGGGGCTTTACTGCTAAGGCACGAGGGAGTCAGGAAGTGCAGGGATCCCTCTGGCTGCCACGTGGATGTGGTGGCTCAGAGATGAGACTGAAGGCTGGTAGCCTCGAGGGGAGGCTGGGAAGGGACATCACACCCCTGGCAGGGTGGTTGGGAGGACAGGGAGAGGCGTTTAGCAAGCCAGGAGGACAGGTTCTGGAATTGATGAGACTCAATGGGGCAGGGGCCTAGGATGAGGCCCAGGGTTCTAACCAGGGAACTGGGGTGGGGGGAGACTGTGGGGCTGCACTGGGATGGTGACTGGGGGGACAAGCAGGTCTAGGGTTGATGCTAAAGCCAGAGAGGGACACAGGGGATGGGAGAGGCTGGGGGAGGGGGAACCAGGAGAAAGCATCGGGATTGCTGGGCCAGTGGGATTGGAGCTTGGTAGGGAGGGTAGGAGGCTGGAGCAGGTAGAGAGGATGGGAGGGAGGAATGGAGAGATCAGCTGCTCTGTTGGGGACCCAGCCGCCACTTGGCTCCTAGTGGGTGGGAGAGGGTTGTCCCTGAAGATAAGCTTCGACCTCTTCCCCCCCCCCACCTCGTCCCACAGGATGTCCTGTGTTTACTGAGGTGACCTTGGCCGGAACCGGGATACTGGTGCCACCCCCTAAACTCAACTTCCCATGGCCACACCCCCCTGGGGGAGGGAAAGGGAGAGAACGCAGAGCGACAGAGAAAGAGAGAGACAGAGACAAGGAATGAGGACAGAGAGAGGAACAGAGTGGTAGAGAGACACACAGACAGACACGCCCTTCATGACAAAGAAGCTTCCTTTACCCGCTGAAGGGTGACCACAAAACACAGCCAACAGGGCAAAAGGCTGAATGCTTGTTCCCAGTCTCAGGGCCCACGTTCAAGGGTTCCTGTGCTCTGAGACACAGAGAGAGACAGAAGAGCGCTGTACGGGCCTCCCTTGTCTGGCTGACCCCGAGCAGAGAGGTGGATTTTCTTCCCAACTCTAGCCTGGCCTGTAGTCAGACTTTCCAACCTCGACTACTTAAAACTCCACAGACTCTGCCCTTCCTGAAAGCACAAGGCAAGCAAGGCCCTTAGGATGAAGTGTCAGCCCCTCCTCACAGGCGCTGCCCAACATGGGCCTCCCCTCAGCTTCCCCTCACTCCTTCCCATTCACTGATTTCTCAAAGGGGCCCCTGTCACAGGCTGTTCCCTCTCCCTGAAACCCAGTCATTGATCCACCACCTGCCCAGCAGCCTTGCATGAACGCCTATGTATCTTTCAGGTGCTGGCTTAAATGCCACTTCCTCCAAAAAGCCCTCCCTGCCCTTTCTGATAGTCCCAGAGTGCTAGATCTGTCCCTCATACTCCTTAAGTCAGTGTACTCATTTCACTGAGCACTTCTTGAATGCCTGCTCCCATACCACCCCCCCCAAGCTGTGAGCCTTGTGAGGCCGCAGTCATGGTCACTTCTGTGATATAGCCCAGGGATGGATACAGAAGAGGTGTCTGCAAATAGCTGCTGAATAAATGTATAAAATAGGAGGAGATATAAGCAAGGCGCATATTTGGCCCTGGGGACGCAGTCATTAACGAGGACTCAGCTCTCAACTTCTAGAAATTTCACATGTGCTGAGCTCTCTCTGGATTCAGGTCCTGTGCACAGGCTATTCCCTCTGCCCGTAAAACTGTTCTCCACATTCTCTTGCCTGGTTCCTGTGGGTCATCCAAGTCTCAGTTCACATGTCTCCTCTTCCAGGAAGCCTTCCCTGACCTCCCTTGCAAGGCTGGAGCAGGCACCTTTCCTGGGCTCCCCCATCAAGGCCCTGACATTTCTGCCCACGACTCTCTCATCACAATCGTCACCATTCTGGGTCTGTCTCCCTGTTAGACTATGAACTCTGCAAAAACAGGCCCTGGCTGTCCAAGTCACACTGTGTCCTCAGCACCATCCAGCATAGGGTTGGACACCAGACCAGGTGCTCACGGACT